TGCCCGGACCAGAGACTTTTATGTTTATTTAATTAGCGCATTCATTCCGACAACTCTGCTCAAAGATGAGACTCGAATTATGAATTCACGGTCCGGACCCACATGGGAATGGGTCAGTAGGATTGTTACACATCGGACTCTATATAGGGAGATGGCATATATCATACTAACTAAATCTGTGGGAATATTTTGTTCTAATTGTGACTGTAGATGGTAAGGGAAAGCAGATAAGGAAACGCATTATAAATGTTGATCAAATTAAATGGGATATTAATATTTGAATATTGGTTTGTATTTTTGTTTAAATAAGATAAGATGGGTTAGCGATATGTAGGAAGAGCGCTTATAATCAATTTATTAGCACAACTTGGGAAAATATATTTTAATTTGATTTTCTATTATTATTTTGATGAAAGATAAACAAATTCAATAATTTATGTTGATTTTTGGAAGCAGATCTTATAGTAAAAGTATTTAAAGGTATGTCCAACCTATATAAGTGATTTTTTTGGAGACTCACCTGAAGATCCATACCATTTTCCTGTACATCTCAGAGCTCTCTCAGGCTTGCGTGTGAGGTGTGTCCCACGATGTGTCTCGTGCTAAGTTGTTGCTGCTCCTGCTGCTGCTGCTGTTTTGCTACCAATTGCAACACTGCCTCCATCCCAGGATCGGCAGCCATGCCCAGTTCCGTGGTCGTGTCGATAAGGATCAATGTTCACTTGGGCTACATTTTAATATAGGCACACGTTGCCATGATTTGGGGCGGTGCTACGAACTCGAAGAAATGGTAACTTGAAGCTACCAAGCTGGGTTCTCCTTCACTTACAGCAACTTTGGTAGACTCTCCTTCCACTGTTCATGGGTGAGTCATCGGTTGGCCTGGATAATATCCACTTTATATAGCTTTCCTGGGACACTCCACCTCTCTGGGGTCCCTCACTCCTCGTTTGTTTCGTTGTCTTTTTGGGTGGCTTCTTCCAGTGCCTTGACTTTTGCTTGTCAATGCGCGACGTCTTCGATAACTAATTGCCACGGCGCCAAATGTTTCTCATTTTGTCGTTCTTTCTTATTTTTTTGGGGTTCCGTGTCGCTTTGTTGGTTTATATACATACTTATATATAATAAAAGTCACATCGTTACCGTTTTGTCGGCACTTATAGGGTCCATTTCCTTCACTCCAAATGATTTATATATTCAAAATTGTGGCACTTGCCTTTGTAAGAAACGAGCAGGAAAAAGACCTCGACATGCAATGCATTTCAGAGTGGCTGTAAAAAAAAGAGAGTAAGCAATTATGCCAACAAGTTAATTAGAATCGAACATGTTCCAATTGGACTGCGAATAGATTGGTCCTGAAACCTCAGGAGCTTGGAGTCTGTCTTAATTTAATTTATGCAAACAGTGCCAAGAAGCAGACAAATCTCGTATAAATATTCGAAGAGAAAGGAAGTTTGAACAGGAAGAAACAGAAGTTCCTGAGTAACCTTTGAGGGGAAAAAAGCAACAAAATATCAGAAGTAAAATAAATTAAAGTGTACATTATTTAATTGTTTTCGGATTGTATTTTTTTATTTAAAGGTTGTATAAATATTCTTAGAGAAAGGAACATACAAGAGTAACATTAGTAGGGTTATCTTCAATAAATGGTGACAAAGTCGTAAGAAAATGTGATAAGAGCTTGATAATGGCATCGTTAAAATATAAAAAATGTATCGTCATTTATAATGGAAAGTGTGTTTTTTGTGATCTTGATAAAGCCACATCAAATATAATCTTGAAGCTTGAGAAACTCCGTGTTTATCGCTGAGATTATCTCATCGTGTTGATCCCACTATAACTGCTCTACAAATAAATATATTCATATGTAACTGGATTTTTGATTTCATTCAGTTTTATGTGACTTTTGCTCTTCCCCTTCCCGTTTCGGACCCTTTTCCCCGGTGCGTAAGCAGAAAGTTCGTTGCCTAAGTCTTTTGTTTGTCTCAATGAATTTATAATTTCTCGATCGATTCCCAGCGGCCAGATATTGCCATAACTCCAGACAGATGTTAGGCTGTGATTTTATAGCCAATTTCATGAGTATATATATATATAAATATGTTTATTTATTTCCTTTTTAGGGCCAAACTGATTTCGTTTTATGCTTGCAAACGAAATTAATTTAAGATTTCTGCGAATTTTTATTGGAATTTTTAAACTGTTTGCTGGCTTCGATTTCGCTTCGGATCAGTGGCTGTTGTTTGCAAAAATTGCAAATATTTTCGTTTTCAATTTTCATTTTCATTTCCATTTTTTGTTGCCAGTTTCTTTAATCAAAGTGGCGCTAATTAGTTTGAGTCGTTTGGATAATTGCAAATTAAACGCAAACTTAATTGCGCCGACACACGAAACACACACACATACACACCACGGACACACTTGGGCAATTACATATATGTGCAGTAGATATATAAAAAAGAAGAAAAACAGCAACAACTAAAGCTGCATTTTGTCTCGCAAGGCAACAAAATAATATATGGAGAAAAGAAGAAAAATAAGCAGGAAAAAAATGTTGCCTTCATTGTAGTTACTTGCTTGTGGTTGTTGTTGTTGCTCATTCACTGCTCGTGGAATTAACAATTAACTTAACGTTGAAGTTAAATTGAATTAAAACTACTAACAAAAAAAAAGCCACTTTAATCGAATGTTTTTTGTGTGTAAATTTGCCAACAAATTAAATGTTAGAATAGAGATGTTAGACAAATAGTTAGCGTGCACTGAGCGATTTAATTACAAATAATATTTATGCATTAATTTTACCTTACTTTTATCGTTCTATTAATTTTTGAATTCAAATATTTTGCTAGTTATTAAAAAACAAAACTAAAAGCCTGTCAAATGACAGAGGGTGTAATTAAAATGCAGTCTCTTAATGTCAGCGTTAATTAGTCGCCTTAATTAATGATTATTAATATGGTTGTTGGAGCCCCCTTCTGCCCGGTTGTGTATATAATATACCGCCCCTCGGCTTGATTATTATGCAAATTAATTGTTTTGGATCCAAGAGCGATCGGGTAGATCTCGTTCGACGCTGCATTTGACGAACTCATTGAAATGCATGAAATGCTCTCTCCAGAAATTATGCAGACCCTTTGGGGCAGCATCGCCTGTCCGTCGTCCGACGGTTAAACATGATTATCACAGTTCCACCTCATCGCAATTACCAGGCCATGTGAGGAGGAGTAGTCTCTTGCCTTTTTTTCTTACTTCTTTGCTTTACTCTTTTTTTGAGGCAAAAGAAATGAGCGGCTGACCAAAAAATCTGGTAATCGAATTAGGCAACTTCGTGTTTTATAAATGTTATCATAAATATTCCATTTTATTAATTACCGCGCATAATTCACCAACAAAAGCAAGAGATGGAGAGAAAGAGAACATCGGACAGATGGAAGTCGCCGGCAAGAGACTTGGATTTTGTGGCTTCCTCTCACTTTAACTTTGGTGTCTCATTAACATATTTAATTTGTTTCTAATTTATTCATAAATTTATATTTGTGGCACCCTCCTCCAGAAGATGATTCTCTTGTTTTTGTTTTTGATCAAGCCTCCTCCTGCTCTCCCCTCTGAAGTCGCTCCCCTTCACTCACTGATTTATGGAGAGACCACTGATTAATGGCAGCCGCCCGACTCCGGATCTGAGTTGGACTCAGACATACCAACCGTAGCCGTACTACTCCCAAGATCTGGTCGGACTGGCTGTGAATCAGTGTTCGGCTGCTGCCCCTTCTCCGCTCTCATAAGTAGGTGTTGTTACGCACATTATGAAGGGGCTTGTGTCCATTAGGCCTCGGCTTATGGCTAATTTGTGGGAATTACCAAAAGAAACAAAGAGATGATGAAGAGCTGGGTGTTATATGGGAATACTCCAAAGGCTTAGATGCGTTAGTTTTGTAATACCGAATTTATTGTTGTTTAGTTTAGGAAAGGATATGAAAACTTATGAAGTCAAAAATACCTCTTAAATATATTTAGGTTTATAAATCTTTAACAGATCACAAAACAATTAAATCAAAAACAGAGTTTTGAAGTCAACTTGCACTTGTTTACCACTTTCAAAGTCCTAGGGAATGACAAAGCAAATATCGCTTAAAAATTGTCTACTTACTTGCTTAGTATGAGAATCGCAGAGGAAGGCAGCAATTAATATATCTTTTCCTCACAGCTATTTAAGAGATCACTAAACAATTGCACTTGTTTACAACTTCCGAAGTCCCAAGGGAATGACTCAGCAAATTGAAAAACTGTCTGGTTGGAGAACTGTCTATTTAGGTGCCTAGTATGAGAATCGCAGAGGAAGGCAGCAATTAATATATCTTTTCCTCACTAAGAGATCACTAAACAATTGCACTTGTTTACCACTTTCAAAGTCCCAAGGGAATGACGAAGCAAATATGGCTTATTAACTGTCTACTTAGGTGCTTAGTATGAGAATCGCAGAGGAAGGCAGCAAATAATATCTCTTCCTCCCACTGCTATTTAAGAGATCACTAAACAATTGCACTTGTTTACCACTTCCGAAGTTCCAAGGGAATGACTCAGCAAATTGAAAAACTGTCTGTTTGGAGAACTGTCTACTTAGGTGCCTAGTATGAGAATCGCAGAGGAAGGCAGCAAAATAATATCACTTTTACTCCCACAGCTCTCTTGCTTAGGTGCCTAGTATGAGAATCGCAGAGAAAGGCAGAAGGTACTAGTGCCACAAAGACTCATTCGTCTTTAAATATTTTCTTATCAACTTTGTATTATTTTGAATAACTGAATTGTTTAAGCACTTCGAAATTACATTTTACAATTTGAATTTATTTCAAAAATTCTGTGTTAAATACATACAAGTGAATAACTTATTGGCTTAGGACTACAGTGAACGGGCAAAGGCTTGCACTTGGTTTTGGGATAATATCCTTCCTGACCATCAGGTCCTCCTGGTTGGAAAGTTCCTTCTCCTTCTGCTCCTCCAGCTAGCTGACCACATCGTTGCCATGTCCATTTTGGCGCAGCAGCTCCAGCTTCAGTTCATGCTCCCTAGCCTTCAGACGCAGAGCTGCAATGGAGGAAGTGCGTCTATCCTCCGGCGGTGTGGCGGCTCTAGGCGGTGCCTGATGCTGCGCCGGCGGCGGTGGCAGCTGCCTCTGTGGCGAATGGGATAAAGTCAAGGCCACTGGAGCTGTCTGTGTCGGGGACAGGCACGGTGCCTGGTGGGTCAGAGCTATGCCCACCAGCTGCTGGGGCGACAGTTGAGCGGGCTGGACACCAACTGGATGTGGAGGAGGCGGCACCTGCGGAGGCGGATGCGCCGGATGCTGGTGCTGAGAGCCGTGTCCCGAGGCTGGTGATGTGGGCGGCGAGGCGAGCAGGTGGTTGGGCGAGTGCAGATCAGGGGATCCCACCAGCAGGGCGGTGGGCGGCTTGCCAAGGGGCGGAGCTCGTGGGACCGCCGTCATATTGGCCAGTAGCGATTGGAAGGAGCTCGAGGGAGAGTACATCCCGGCCATTCCAGGGGGCAGCATGTGCGGAGGAGCTCTGCAAATATTGCAAAATGATGGGAATTAGTACCCGTTGACCTATGGTGTAGTTCCCTGAAGTTACTCACCTCTGGAATTGGTTAAAGTAGCCCGACGGTATCATGGGACCGGCGGACAAGTGAGGATATCGGAAGGCGGCCAAGTTGGCGGCGTGTTGGGCATCGAAGGGTTTGCGCAGCTGGAAGCCCAGGTGGGTGAAGGGATTCGGTGGCAGGGCGGCTCCAACCACCGTCTGCATGGTGGCGGCGCCGCTGGGCAGGTAGGGATTGTACGGATGCGACTGGGGGCCGACCTTCTCCTGCTTGCGCCACTTGGCGCGCCGGTTCTGGAACCAGACCTGCAAGGATCGGCAAGGAGACGGAAGCCGTGAGTTATGTGCTGCTGGCAGGCTACTGTACAGCCCCAACCCAAAGCCTCCAATTAATGGGCGTTGTTATTGAAAACGCCCCTTTAATTAGTTTTTAACATAACAATCTGAATATGGAGTCCATCCCCAGGACGCCGGCTTCTGATTGCACTCGGAATGGGAGTCGGAGTTGAAGTCCGAGCTAGAGTTATAGTCCAAGTCGGAGGCAAATAATGTTGTTTAGCATGAGCAGTAATTAAAAGGAAGCGACGACTGGCCGGCATAAGCCATAAACTGACCGGGCATGTAATGACTGGCACTAAAACAGAATTAAATGAATTTCTTTGCCTGCAACCGATACGATTCCCCTCTGTCCGTTCCCAACTGTATCTCTCCTCTCCTAGAGTCCGCATCTCATTCTCCTCCGATTTCATTAGTAGCGACATGCTCCATTATTTTTCAATTTTCAACATTGTTGGCTGCACGTGGGCACAGGCCACGCGAATTAACCGCAACAAAATCTGTGCAGCTTCGAGCCCTGAATTCTCCTCCTTTCTTGGAAACTTGGCTTACCTGAATGCGCGCCTCGGTTAATCCAATTTTCATCGCCAGCTCTTCTCTGCAAAAAGAAGGAAAGAGAAAACTCGGTTAAAATGTGGAAAAAGTTTAGTGATCTAGGACAAAGAGATGATTGAATTGCAAAGTCCTTTCTTAGCTGGAAGAGCTATAACTATTTGATTTTTTTTGTAACTAATACAAGCCTTGATTAAAAACTTAATTAGGCAAATAAGAAATTAATTAGTAGGTGTAAAAAAATGTAACAGTGACTGCCCCTCTATTCGTTTCTCATATCATTGACCTAAGCTCACCTCTTCTAAGCTGCTCTCATGCCAGGCACTTGGCACTTAATTGAAGCTTATACTGTAAAGGCGATTTGATTTATTTGCTTAATTAATTGCTGGGCATTTAAACGAACCCGCTGCCTAATGAATTGAAAAACTGCCAGCGATACGATAAAAAGCAAAAAATCAAAATCAAATACAAAAAGTTGATCTAATTGTGGCTGCTATTGACCAGAGTCAAGCTCACTTTTTTTGTCTCGATTTTTGTTTGAGGCCCGAGCACTCCGTGCGGTCTCAATTAGCGTTCACTTTGGTTCCTCGACGCGAACAGTGACTGACTTTTAATTTATGGCAATTACTGCCGCTGTCTTTCGACCACATTGCTGCATGCTAATTGCGATCGTTAGAGTTTCTTAGGGCGCGGAATCTCCGGCTATCGCAGGAGGAGCTCTGTGCTCCAAATAAGATCGATCGATCCACTCAGGGGGGTCGTCGGCGTCAAGGCATTATTATTATTGTTATTCGTATTATCAACCATACACCCATATTCTTTGTATCGTAAAACCAAAAATGTCAAGAAATGACTTTCAAGCCTTTGTCGCGCCTCGTCGATGAGCGATTTATGCAAATTTCGTTGCCTTTCTTTCTGGGCATCACATTGCGTCTCGTCTCGATGCGTCTCTCTTATCTCCGCCACCTTGTCATATGTTACTCACCTCGTAAACACGTCTGGATAATGGGTCCGGGAGAAGGCCTTCTCCAGCTCCTCCAGCTGAAAGCTGGTGAAGGTTGTCCGATAGCGCCGTTGCTTCCGCTTCGGGGCATACTCGTCCGCCTCGCAGTCACTGTTCCCATCCGAAATGGGACTGTTGGTGCCACCACTGGCACCACTAGCACCGCTGGGAGCACCGCCGGAAACCGTGAGCGCTGCACCGGCCGATGAGCCGGGTGCTCGGTCCACCAGCACGACGGCATCCGGGTGCGCTAGCTTGGCTTCTTGCGGTAGTTCCTCCAGCTTGATCTCCTCCGATATGCCCATAATCCACGACGGGCGCACTCTCGACGATGCCGCTGTTCTATCACAATCCTTGAAGGCGGTAACTGCGGAGGAAACACAGGGGAATTTCGGAGATGGTATTATTATTAATGGGTTGGTCAGGTTTTTCTGGGCTTAAATTTCCTATTTTTTAACTAGTGTGTTTTTTGCTGCTGAATATAAGAATGGGGGAAGACTTGTCTAGTTAGTCGCGCATTAGAAGCTCGTAATTCAATAAACGCTAAACGTGCAATTATCGTGCACTTTATTATGCCAATTTCCGTAATTTGCCATCTAGCCATGACCAAGTCATCGGTTGGGTCGGGACTTGGCCACTCGAGGTTACCTGCGGTTACACTGTGTAGCAGGGTTTAGGGTTTAAGACATAGAGATACATGTAAAAGGCTAAGGGAACAGGCCTTCGAAAACCTTGGAAATGCAACCACATACTTGTATTAGGTTACAAAAGTAATAAGAAATATAGAAATGCATTTCTTAATAGATAAAAACAATTTAGAAAAACTTCAATCATAAAACATAATTTATTATACTAACATCTCTTAAAGACAGAATCTGTCAATAAAGCCATGTATCTCTCAATCTTTATTTAAAGTTAAATTCATTAGTGATTTATGTATCTTTCAAAAATCATTTTCCACATCTATTGAGCAATATAAATATTGATTTATGGCTTTCTATTCCAGAAGCTATTCCCAGAGAGCTTCGTTTTTAGTACCGAATTTCCCACCGCCAAGTGTTGGTTAGTCTTACAAAACCCTACTCTCTTCTGCGGTCACGGGGAAGCGTGCTGCCTCATGGTCATGGCTTCCACATTGCCGCACAGATTCACATTCATCTTGGACTCGAGGCTGCTGCTTCTGCAGCTGCTGGTGATCTCTCTCGGCCCCAATGCAAATCGATGACCACAGCATGGGGCTGTCCACTGCTGATCTCTTCCATCAACACGTCCCAGACGCTGAGTTGGGTTTTATTTTGCTTGGCGGTGAGGCTGCATGTGCAGATCGTTTGGAATTTTAATTAAATTGGGCGGCAACTTCATTTTCATCATCATCAACTCAACGGTCGAGCAGGAGCAGAAGCAGGAGCTGGAGCAGGAGCAGGAGCAGGTTTGAGCCTTGGAGCTTCTATCAGATCAAATTAATATCAGGTGCCAGTTCTCCTCGTTGAACTTGGGTCCCAAAAACTTTTGGCTGTTGGTTAATTTCATGTTTTGCTAATTAATATACGACATCGTTTAATGACAACTAAATGGTTAGGGCCGGCGTGTAACCTTCCATTGCCGCCTGAATTTCTGAGCTGCCTTCGTGTCGGACTCGAAGTCGGAGTTGGAGTTGGAGCCGGGGCCAGTGGCCAGACCCTGTCCCATGACCAAAACATGGCTTGATTGATGGCCGCCGCTTCTGTTGACATCTCTACATATATCAAAATTGTCCAAATACCTTGTTAAATGGCAAATTAGTGTGGCTGTGATTGATTTAGTTGCATTCTTGAGCGGAATGAAGTTGCAAACCGGCCAAACAATCGAACTCAGACGTCAGCAAGACAATGTACACTGGGGAAATGTAATGGTGCATCTTTCAAGATTTCTAACGTTTCAAATGTGATTATTTGTAAAAGATTTCATACTTATAGAGTCCTCTTAAAGGGATTTCATATCCCGAATGAAAGTTTTTGCATCCCTTGATACGTATTATATTTTAGGAATACATTTTTCCAAGTGCACATGAACTTGTTTATGGCTTTTCCCATATCTCAGGCAGAGGTTCAGGTTGAGTGGCATCTTTCCTCACCTCAGACAGGGCATTCCAACTGAACTTCACTTTGCTGCCAGTTACCTTCCCGTATCCGAACTCAGTTCATAACTCATTTTGTGGACTCGATCATAACTTCAGTTATGAGTCGCACTGTCAGCATCCAATGTTGTCAACGAAATTCCTTGCATTGACAGCTGACAAACTTAATTTGCGGACCGCAAATTATTAAATTAGTTGTACGAATTGCAATTATGCTGACCCCTCTCGGTGGGTTGATTATAAGACCCGCACTGATTAATTCATTGCATGCGAATCCGAATGGGAACTGTGCGGAGCAGTGCAGCTTATAGACTCGGCTATGTGGGGAATGTGTGCCGTTTGGCTTTGTTGTGGAGCCGCCTTATAATTGTATCCGCGTTGCTCCGACTTACGACTTGCGACTTACGACTTTATTACCAAGGCCCAGGCATCGAGCCATCGCATCGAGGAGTCCTCCGCTGATTGACGTTTCGCTGGGTAATTAAAAGGCAGTGCCAGTGCCAGAGCCAGATTCGCTGGAACTGTCAGTTTTTGACGTCTGCCTACCGATTTTGGCCTCGTCTCTTGGCGGCTCAACGGCTCTGCATGGCTTCATTTAGCCATAGTCGTTGCAACTAATCAAGTTAACGCTGCACTTGCTCTGCCCAAATCCAGCACGCTCTCAGGCTCAGCTCCAGGAAGCGTATACTGATGAGCAGGTATGAAGGGGATTACTTCCTCCTCCTCCTCATCATCATCCCTGGCGGGGGCGATTTCGTGCCTAACGTTTTGACACAACTCCGACGCGGCTCTCTTAGTCCCTTCATGCTAATCAGGCCAAGCGCCAGTCCAACTGCCACCGCAGTCAGGAGCAGATCCAGTCCGTATCCGAATCTCAGACGGAGTCTGGACTCTGGCCGTCTGGCAACTTGTTTGCGGTTGCTTGTTCCGTTTAGAGATAAGCTCCATTAGTGTCTGGGGAAATATTTAAGAGCAACATTGTAGGCTGTGTGGGTTTCCTAGGTACGTTCAGTCATAAAGGCACTGAGGGAAAAGTTATAGGAAAACTTGGATTTTACAGCTAGAATATACAAAGGTCTTGAAATAGGAGCTCTTTCACTATTTGTAATCACTGTTAATAAGTTGTATAGATGGTTTATCGAATCAGAAGTTGATAAGAACATATCTTTAATAATTATCCTAAAATAATAACATTCTTTGGCGATATATTTATATACCTTTTTTGGGACAAATACAATTTTAAAAATGTCATAACTAAGCTAAAAATTCATTAAATTCAAATCGGTGCTGGTGCTGTGCTGGTTTTTTATAGGTTAATAAATTTAAAATTTAAGAAAATTCAATTTTTTTTTTGCCAATATTTGACAATTTTAATGTAACCCCTTACCCTGCATCCGGACATGGCTAGATCTACTTGGCTGTCGATGCTGGTAAATAATATATATGACTTATAGGGTCGGAAATGATTCCTTGACAGCATTTTAAGCTTCCGACTACAATTATAATACCTTTGCAAAATAACAATAATTGTAGTCAGCAGTCAAAGTAATTTAGTAATAACATAATTCTAACAATATAAATAGTAATAAATGTCGTTAAGTTAATTTAGTATAAGCCAAGAAATTTTTACAGTCTATGTAACTACCATTCAATTTTTTGTTTACATCAAAAAATTAATATGTTAATGTTAATATTATTTTGAAGGGTCCAATAATAAAACATGTTCTAATGGCCTTTATTATTTTAGAAGTATATAAGTATATATATTCGAAATGTATGTTCTTTTCAATTTATTGTTTTTGATTTATTTTTCCTTCAAAGTTTTTAATATTCTCCCAGTGTATACATATGGAAAATTAAGAAATTAATTCGTAATGCACGACAAGTGTACTTCTATTCGGTTGTCCACTGTCCGTCCGCTGTCCGTTGTCTTTGGCCCACTGTCCGCTGTCCGTTGTCCGCTGTCCGTTGTCGTCACTTCTGTCATCTCGATAAGCATCAATGTTTCTGCCCTGCCTGGCTGCTCTTTCCACAACTCAACTCAACTCGACTCGACTCTCTTGGCCAGCCAAAGACGCGTCTTCAGCTGGGCTCCTTCATGTTTTGGTGTCGTTTTTATGGTTGCACTTTTGTGTTTTTAGCTCCTCCAGCTCCTGATCTCCCTGCGCGGAACCTCATCCTTGCTGGCTGGCCGGGGACTGTCTGGGGACTGTTGTGCTGGCATATTTCATTAAAAGCCAGACCAGACCGGGGGGACCAGGTAGAACAGCAAAACAGAAGCTCTTTTCTGGCATTTTGTTAATGCGTCTCCGTCTCCGTCTTCGGGTCTCCCAGACTCCAGTTTCCATTCGGGGTCTGGAGGAGCCTTGTATCTGGAGCTGCTTATTTATGGGTTTACATTAGGCTAAACCACTTTAGTCACACTTTGATGATCGGCATTGTAATTTCAGAGCCCCCTCTCCATCGATAATGGCAAGCATTTTGGGTGGCTCAACTTCTGGCCTTAACTCGAGCCCAGCGAAAGCTCACTCGCTCCACCGATACTCGCATCGATGTGTGGTCCCTCCCAGAAGTTGATGGATTGGAGGCAGGGAACAGTTCCCTAATAGGCTGCCTCGGATAAGGTCAATTATTAATTTTCGAGCAGATCTTGTGAGTCACCCGAAAGACATAAAACCGATATGGAAAGCAGCTGAGACGAGACTCTATTCCATTTAAAGCTGCACCTGAGCCTCAGTCTGAGTCTCGTCAGAGCCTTGGTCATTCGAATATTCGTTGTTCGGTGTTCGGTGTTCGGTGTTTGCTGTTCACCTTCCCCGGTTGTTGGTTGGTTGGTTGTTTGTTTCTTGGCGCCGTCTCTTGGCCCAGGTGCGATAAGGCAGCATTCTTGTTGCTGGCCAGGCGCCGTCCTCATCGTCTCGCCTCTCCATTCTCCAATCTCAATTCTTCGCTCTGCGTTTCTGGTGTGGACCTCTAATGCACACACTCCCAATTATAATTAGTTTATTCATATCCTGTGTCGAAGCTGCTGCCTCATTTGTTGTTCTTGAGGGCAATCTTAATTCAATTTACCGGCTATCAAAAGGAGAAGCAACGAATAAGGGAATACACTAACCAGAAGAGGTCAAGAGGAAGAACATTGAAGAAAATTCTTCTTATGCTAAGGAAACTATAATGATTATGCATTTA